TGTTAGGCTCAGCGCCCGACCGAGCCCGACCGAGGCCCGGTGCCCGGTTAGACTCGACGTCGGATTAAGCTCGGCGCCCGATTAGGCCAAAATATTCTCACGTGATCAAACGACCATGCGGGTGGTTATAACCCGGGGAGGCCCCAGCACCTCTTTCATCCCATCAAGCTTAGTATTATGTTAGGGAGCGAATGCGAGCTGCATAAGAAGGAAACTCTCTGCGTTGCTAACTGCTATATAACGAAATACTAAGCTTGATGGGATGAAAGAGGTGCTGAGGCCTGCCCGGGTTATAACCACCCGCATGGTCGTTTGATCACGTGAGAATATTTTGGCCTAATCGGGCGCCGAGCTTAATCCGACGTCGAGTCTAACCGGGCACCGGGCCTCGGTCGGGCTCGGTCGGGCGCTGAGCCTAACATATAGTGCAGTTGCTGATAATATGAAATAAAATTGATTCACTTCAATCTCAATTATATTTAGTATTAAAAGTTGATCTGCTTCAATTTTCAACTATATATATATATCAAACTACTTATTCATTTCATATTCTAATCTTTAGTTTAATATTCTCGTTACAACTATCTAGTTTGATAGATGAATTGAGCTTTTATTTTATTATTATTATATCTGTATTTGAACTATAATAAGTGCTTTTATAAATAAAGATTTAAATATAAATTAAATAAATTATACATCATATTCAGAAGATTATATATTTGAAAGATGATAATAAATATAAAAAAAGTAATTTTAAAGCTTATATTGAAAAGATTAATAGCTTACTGAGTATATTTCAAAGTGATAGGATTTAGAAGATGAAACTCTAATAAATGCTACAGCTGCTTACTATAAAGCTATTGTAAATTTAACAATACTATGTGCAGACTTAGATTTACTACTTGAGAAAAATATTTAAAAGAATAATATAAAGCTTATAGAATAATTTATAAATTTATTTATTTACAGAATAGAGATTTAAAAGTATTTATTTATTTAAATATTAAAGCTATTTCTTATTTTATATAAACTAGATAAGATAATTGATATTTATGATATATTAAGCAATGTTACTGTATGTTATTTCTTATGTTAATACCTTTATATTATATATGAAGATATGAAATATAAGTAATAACTTATAGTAATATTGTTTGATGTATTGCAAATATCAATTACTTTATTTAATTTGTATAAAATAAAAAGTAGCTTTGATATTCAAATAAATAAATACTTTAAAATCTCTACTTTACAAATATATGAATTTATGAATTATTCTACAAACTCTATCTTATTCTCTCAAGTGTCATTCTCAAGCAGTAAATCTAAGTCTGTACATAGCACTATTAAATCTACAGCAGCTTCAAAGTAAGTAGCTGCAGCATTTGCTAGAGTTTCATCTTCTAGATTCTACTGCTTTAAAATATACTCAGCAAGCTATTGATTTTTTCAATGTGAGCTTGAAATTACTCTTCTTATATTCATTGCCATCTTCCAAGTATATAATCTTCTGAATATGATGCATAATTCATTCAATTCATATCTGAATCTTTGCCTGTAGAAGCTCTTTCCAGGTCTTCAATCAATCTTCTTTTACAGTCTTTTGTTCATAAGAAGCTTCTCTAACTGCTAGGATAAGAGCTTGAACTTATAGTTCAATAGAATGATGTGGCATAATTGTGTTTGTAGAGATTAAAGTAGATGTTGAAAAAGACTTTGATTATAGAATTTTGCAAGTTTTCACTCAAATGAGATAGATTGTTGAGGTGGGAACCAAGGATAGAAGAACAGAGTATAGAGTATTTGTTTATTTGAATATTGAAGCTACTTCTTATTCCATACAAACTAGGTGGGGTAATTGGTATTTGTGATACACCAAGCAACGCCACTGTAAGTCATTACTTATGTTCCACACCTCCGTACCTATTTCGAGATTAACCCCAAGTGCAATCACGTGGTGATAGACTCTCTGAGTGGCCTTCCAATCAGCCAGATTCCCAAACATGTGGAGTCAAGCATCCCAACGAGGGGAGGGGAGGTTGGGAGAGCATCGGATCTTCAAGAATATTACATATTTTTTTCCACCCGCAGGGAATTTGAATAACGACGATCATCAACCGTCGTTTGATTAACCATCCATTCATTGTCTTGTTGTTAGTCGACCTTATCTCTTGAAATTGAACCGATGATGAAATGGAGACCGCTTCCTCAGATGAACTTTTCTCCATCCTGATAATAAATCCCAATACCTCCACTCACATGACTGATACCCTCAAATCCCTGATCCAAAACCTCAATTATTTAAATACCCATATCGATTATTTTACTGCACCGAAAAAGTCATCAGTTGGGCCAGACGGGGAGGAAATAGAGGGAATTCCCAGCATCAATTGCAATTCTGATGCATTCCTTTCTGCGCTCCACTGCTTACCCCATTTGAAACCTCTGGTACCCAAATACGACGCATTTCTGGTCGCTTGTTACTCAGCCCATCCGCTTGTGGGTATGCTGAATAAAGAGGTTGGCATCGATCCAATGGTTCGAGGTGGTGAAGGTCAATGTCAATCCAGAAAGAAGTATGTAACGGGTATATTCGAAGCGAGTGTGTCGAAAAGTATCTCCATACTACGCTCCTCCGTGTACTCTTCTATTCCAAATGTTGGAAAAGCCATTGGGGAACCTGGTAGTAATTCATCATTTGGAATTATTTCTACGGGAGAGGTATGGAAGGATATATTTAGATGTGCTGTACCGGATTTACTGCGCCAGCTATCAGGTATCGGAGTTCATGATGATGTGAACCTGGAGCCATTATTCGCTGGCGTTGAGACGACAGGATTGAGCGCGGCTGAGTTGCACACAACACCAGCAGAAGAGGTCGAGAGACGAATGGTGGAAGCAACAGAGCGATTAATCAAGAGCACAGATAGATCAATAGTAGCCATATGTCTTGGATGTGCTGGAATGGCGGGTATGGACAAATCTGTCCGTCAAGGCTGTCAAAGGGCACTTGGACGGGAGGAGGGAGACAAGGTTATCATTGTCGATGGAGTTACTGCTGGGGTTGAGCTGTTGATTGCCGCATTAAATCAGGCTGATATTAGTTAGCTACGCAGTAAAAACGTATTAAATACCATAATAAACCTGAGAAACTGTGGCGGTTGATGAGCTGCTGATGTCCTGTTGCTATTGTTGTGTTGAGCTGTGCGGAGACTTGTGAAAGAATTGTATATTTTTTGGAGTTCTCATTGCAGAAGTTGATTTATAATATTTAAGCGCCTAACACATGCAACACGACGACGCGTTTCCTTGAACAAAACCTCCAGCCTCACGCAACATCGACAAGATGCCAAGGTCAGTCGAATGCATATGCCGTTTTTTGTGGTGTCCAATATCTTGTTGCGGTTCTTTTTCTCACTTTTCCTCTAATCCATTCAAATTCCAGGGAAATAATCACAATCCAAGCAGGCCAGTGCGGCAACAACGGTACGTCAGAGGAAACATACAACAGCCACGTACCGATCTTAACTCGATGCTCCCTGGTGCAATATAAGCCGAGCAAGCGGAATTGGTTGACTGGGTGGGGTTAGTCGTATGAATATATGGAATGGAGGCTGATATGTTGTTCCTTCAGTTGGCAGTCAGTTCTGGCAGCAGCTCTGTGTTGAACACGGGATTAACCAAGATGGGAACTTGGCCGAATTTGCGACCGAGGGAGGAGATAGAAAGGATGTCTTTTTCTATCAGGCTAGTTGCTCCTATTGTGCAGAACGGACATAAATTGAAAACGAATGTCTTGCTAATACTTGTCCCTCCTTTCGATAACAGAGCGATGATACTCGATATATTCCCCGCGCTATATTACTAGACTTAGAACCTAGAGTATGCCCATTAAGAAATCGATGATACCATTTCAGAAGATTTATATAAGATGATGTTGGCTAATAACTTCGGCGCTATTTGTCGTTCAGGTTCTCAATACAATCCAAACCGGCGCATATCGCAACATCTATAATCCCGAGAACTTCTTCATTGGCAGACAGGGAATTGGTGCCGGGAATAACTGGGGAGCTGGATATGCGGCTGGTGAGATTGTGCAAGAAGAAGTTTTTGATATGATTGATCGTGAAGCCGATGGGAGCGATTCATTAGAGGTAGGCCAGGTGCACTAATTCTATTGCAGTTTGGGATCTTACTTCTCAAAATAGGGATTTATGCTGCTTCATTCTATCGCAGGTGGAACGGGATCCGGACTTGGGAGCTATATTCTTGAACGAATGAACGATCGCTTTCCCAAAAAACTAATTCAGACTTACTCTGTTTTCCCTGATACACAAGCGGCGGATGTTGTTGTTAATCCATACAATAGTTTGCTGGCCATGAGGAGATTAACCCAAAATGCTGATTCAGTGGTATGTTCAAGGAAGCCATCAGCTTTAATGTTTTAACCATCATTAGCTTACTATCTTGGTTAGGTTGTCGTGGACAATGGTGCCCTTTCCAGAATCGCAGCAGACAGGCTACATGTACAAGAGCCCTCATTCCAGCAAACTAACCAATTGGTGAGTGAGAGTGAGGAAAATAGTGAGGAAAATACCCCACAGGGACATTACTGACCCCTACAGGTTTCTACGGTCATGTCTGCGGCTACCACCACCCTTCGATACCCCGGCTACATGCATAACGACCTTGTCAGCATTCTCGCTAATCTAATCCCAGACCCTCGAACGCGTTTCCTCATCACATCATACACCCCTTTCACCAGTGACAATGTCGAACAAGCAAAGACCATTAGAAAAACCACCGTCCTAGATGTTATGCGTCGACTCCTCCAGCCCAAAAATCGCATGGTGTCAATTAGCCCCAGCAAAACCAGCTGCTATATAAGTATATTCAATATAATCCAAGGAGAGGCTGCTCAAACCGATGTCGACAAATCAATTCTCCGCATCCGTGAACGCCGTCTGGCCACTTTCATCCCCTGGGGACCAGCCAGCATCCATGTAGCTGTTCCCAAGCGGTCACCATACCTACCAAACACTCATCGTGTCAGTGGTTTGATGTTAGCAAACCACACATCCGTGGCGACCCTCTTCAAGAGAATTGTTAGCCAGTACGACAGACTGCGCAAGCGGAATGCGTTCTTGGAGCAGTATAAGAAAGAACCCCCCTTTGCTGATGGATTGGGAGAGTTCGACGAAGCTAGAACTGTCGTCATGGATCTCATTGCGGAGTACGAATCTGCGGAAAGACCCGATTATGCCGGTGGTGGTACAGATGTAGAGGACAGCTAAAACTTAATAGCGTTGGTGCGAGGGTTGCTTTGTTTCTGTTCTTTTGTTTTGAAATTTTTCCAATGCTTCCTCTGTCTGGTCTGGCGTTAGTTTTGGGGCATCTTATTTCACGTTTTCTCCGACTCCTATTCGATGCTTCCTGTTTTCCCATATATCCCTCCCTTATTTTTTTTTTATTTTTTTATTTTTTATTTTTTAATTTTTTTAATTTTTTTTACACGGGTGTTATTAAATGCGGTCGTTTGAGTAACATTATTCAAGGTCCTAGAGCCCCCTTGATGTCTCCTAGAAAATTAATGGCCTTTGGGAAATGGATGAAACAGGTTCGGGGAGAACATGACAGCATTCAATACAATTTCCTAATAAACCGTTAATTAATTACCTGAAATAAATCTTCCTTCTCCCTCCTTTTCTACGACGACACCGCATTGGATCTCTCTCCACGCGCAGACGAGCCTAGTCACCCACCCAGCATGCAAAGCCGGGTCTGTTTGAAGGGTAGGTTTCTTCACAACGCATCATTTTCCTTCCACACCCATACCCATCAAGCAACGATTCTAACCCCGTTGGCAAACTAATCGCAAAAATAATCATCATAAGTCTAGAGGGTACACGCCTTTATCTAGCGAAGGTCAGAAGCCTTTGTAAGTAATGTCGCGTGAATTGTTGGTGCAGTTATCGATTCTAGCAGCAAAAAGCTACTCCTATGTACGCCTATGATGGCGGGGAACCTATAGAGCTAGGTCACAAAGAACCATGGTGCATCGCTGGCGTGCAATCGATTGAGTGCTGCTTAGAAGTTGGGAAAACTTACAGAGAAGATGCATAATTTCGTGGATGAGGAGCGTACACTCACATTATTTCAGAGTGTCAAACTGCCCAAGATCATTATCTTTTTGAAATAAAGTCATCCTGTTTAAAGAATGTCAACAATTCAAGGGTTGTTGCCCCCTTATCCGTTTTGCTAATCCCAATTTGAATGCCACAATTCTCTTATGTGACAAAGTTCCGCGAAAGAATGGTCTCAAAATGGATTCGACATAAGTCCTGGATGGAATGGAGAGAGAAGATGAACCGGGGTAAGGCAAACCTCTGGCATTCAAAGCACAATGACTGAGAAGTTCGTAGGACTCGCTGCATTTGACGAAGCGTCGGGAGAAAGCAAGATGATATATGCTTTTTCTTCTATTACCTTGATCTCCCCAGGGGGCTTTATAGCAGTCTCTTACTTCCAAAGTCGATCGTTGACGGAGATATCGACGTTATCATCGACCCTGAGCACGTTAAGGATAGGGAGATTATTGGTCTCCTGCGCTCTCTTATGGTTCAAGCGAGAAATGATTTAAACTTTAGGCCCATGTGGACGAATGACTCGGTCACTCTATTTCTCACTGTACCCTCTTGCCGATATCTCTTCGCCGATGTCATAAAGCAAAATCATTGTCCTTTGTCTGGGAAAGCATCTCAGGGTGTTGGCAGCGGCTTTGGAATCGGGTCTGGAATCAAAATTTAGGCGTCTCTCCACAAAACCCAATCATACCAAGGCACCTACCGATATGCAGGATATCTTAGAAATATTGAACGCCTTGATGAAAGAACGTAAAGGACCACTCACTCAAAGAGATACCTTCCTGGGTTAGAAACAGAAACAGATTTGACGTTGCCCATAAAGGATCATTTTCTAGATAAGGTTGCGGAGGCGTATCAAGCACGCTATGGGGAGATATCTTTCTGTTAATGAGGACGAATAGGCACTTGATTTGAATTGATGTGGTGGATACGTAGGTAGTCGGTTGGAAAAGGGGTTAGGTTAATGTCCGTGCAACGGATTCCCCATGGTTGGCGGTCAAGTTGCTCACATGATGTGACGTCAATTCTTTCGGTAGTTTAACTAGCTATCAAACTGAGACCTGCCTGTTATGTGGATTTGCCCAGGTTCTGCGAGCTACAAATTAACTGTTCTTTTATCCACATATAAATATAAACGGAGAGGATGATCAACTTAAGAAGACAATTTGTTGTAGTGGATGTATTTATCCAGATGTAGTATGTAGAAAACCATATTCAAACTTCCACATCCATGTTTAATATCCAAATCCGTAAATGATATCTTGGGCCATAAGTAAAACGTCACTCCAGTCAGACCCTGCGGAACTCCGTATTTGTTCCATCTTCCACATAAAAAATAATTCTCATAGTAGGACATAAAAATCTCTTACGAAGATAGATTCGATTGCCTGAGACAACCACTTTTATCGACCCCATCTACATACATCATGGCAGACCAAGGTTCTGGTAATAATATGGGAGACAAAATCAAGGCCGCCACACAGCCAGGTACGTTATATCCCATCTTTCCTGCGATGGACCATTTATCGTATCCCCCATCTAGCAAAGTAAACCGCAACAAACCTCTTCTAAGAGCTAACGTATCAATATATATCCCACAGGAGATTCTAAGACAACAACCCAAAAGCTCTCCGAGATGGTGCAACAGGGTGTTGAGAGTGCGAAGCAGACTGGCGGGGGAGCTGCAGAGGCAGCTAAGAACACTGCATCCAAGGTTTCAGGTGCAATTGGCGATGGTGGTAAGCATACATATCCCAAGACAAACGATGCACCTCTGCTGATGTGATATCCTTCGTGTCCGTGATGTAGGTGATAAAAAGTAAATACTTGACCATTTTGAGGACTCCACCACCAGGCAGATCACATGTTTCGTAATAGAGGGTGCTGTTCTGTTGTCGATCTTCTCTCGTTCACGTTGTCAAACTTGAGGTGCGGGATGTTTACTACGTTGTGTGTTTTGCGGGAAACGGAATTGAGATAGGGTCTTGGTTGTCTTTCGCTGAGATGTCAAATTTCCATGAAAGTGACGATGAAGCATACTTGGTGTAGTGTTGTGCTAAATATCTCAAATGATTAACCCGCAAATTTGACTGCTCTATTTGTCATTTATTTCTCCCGGCTAGTCTCAGAGTACTACATTCATTTGGTTCCCGTATCCATCGAATTGAGGGGTCCAAAACAGAGCTGGAGAATTCCACCTCGGGAAAGCAATTATCAAACCAGTTTGCGTAAAGTATGAGAGGTGAGATCATACTCTGCTGAAGTAAAAATCTCTATTGTTCTACCTTCCCCTTTATATTGAATTGAATATAAAAATGGGGATCGATTTTGGATTCATGTTATTCATATCTTCAAAGGATTTGCAGTGGTGGGGGTATCAAAATTTCAAAACAAAAGCGCTAGTTTCTCCCGCTCATACTGACTGGAAAGAGATCTACCCTTGCAGTCTCTCATCCACCTTCCCGTCTCCAAGATCCATACGCATACCCATCCATTCATAAAAATAAATATAACCATTTCACTCTCAGGGTTATAATTATTACCGATTAAACCCACCTCCCCCGCTAGCACCACGTCCAGCACCACTTTCAGCACCAGACGGGCCGGAAAGATCATGCACAACACACAACAGGAACTTCCGATCCGGTATAATTAGAATCTCATGGACCTTCGTCCGAAGTCGGAGCAGCTTTAGCTCGTCATCCTCTTCGCGTTCCTGTCCGTGTCCTTCGCTTTCCCCGCTTTCATTCCTCACATGTCCGTTACCATTCACCCCTCGCGCAGTTCCCATTTTGCCAGACCCCCCATAATTCATTTCATTGTTGTTACCACTATCATCGTTTGAGGATGGTGGTTTCGATAACGATGTGCTTAGAGCCGATGCGCTGGATACAAAGAAGAAAATGTGTGCAGCTAGCGTTTCTGCTTGGCTGGGCTTATAAGGGGCGGCAGGGGTTTGTTGATGGAGCTGTTGCTGTTGCTGCTCCAGCTGGCGTTGTGCTTGTCGTGGAGTATCTTCTGAATCTACCGCCGCTATATTGCCAGGATCTGTCATTTTCTGCTTTGGAGTTGGTGAGGTGGCGGGGGCCGGATTGGGTATTGATGCTGGGACTGGAGTAGTGGAGGGTAGAGTCGGGCGTGTGGCAAGGAGACCGGTGGTTTGTATTATAGAGCCATCTTTCCGTGACAGTATGAGAGTGGATTGGACATCAGGGCGGGATGTGAGACTCGATAGGTAAGCGGAAAGATGCCGGGGAAGTTGCGGGGACTACATGAGTATGTGTTTTGTTAGCTTCAGTTCAATCCGCTTCAATTTGTTTGTCGAAGACACATACTGCTGCCATTTGGGCGATTCTGCCGCACGCCAGGGTCGTTCAGGCTCGAAGGTCAATTTTATTGACTTCTGGTGACAAAAAGCAATATGTGAGTTTTTGGTGGAAAAATCGTTTCTAAATAGCTTTGTATCAGTATAAAAATCGAGTGAAACAAATAAAGGTATATAGGGTGCCTTCAATTAAAGAATCGAGTGGTTAATGCTTCGTTAACGCGACTTGAGGTCATTCTAGGGTATAAATAGTCGGATTTAGGTATTGCCGAAATCCGAGTTATCTCGGCTTAGTAAGTTAGTTATCAGAAAGTTATCAGAGTCGGATTTTTGAGCTAACATTCAACATTTAACGACAACTGTAAAGAAAACTACAGTTCTAGAGATCAATCTCCTTTTACCTCTAATAATTTTAGCTATTTTTGCTGCAAGTGACATATAGATCCTAATCCTACAGTTTTCCAAATTCCAAGGGGGTACGTATCTTACATGCCTTCAATCATTTCTGAGCACGACGAAGAGTTCGGTTGAGGAGAGTTTATATGCCAGAGCAATCCTGAGGAGGGATTCCAGGAGGGGTTTGTGATCGATCAAGATCCATTTTTAACATTATATCCTTGAAATTGCATCATGGGTTCAAGCCAAAAGAAGAAAAATGAAAAGAAAAAGGACTTTCAGGTACTTACAATCTATTTAGCCTTGAACACCGTGTTGTAGAGTATTTGCTTACTCGTGATGCAGAAAACAAAACTGAAAGTTGGTAAAACCAAACCAAAGCCGTCAAATTTTACAGACACCAGCTTTCGGTCCAAAGGTAAGTTTTCTCAGCCTCGCAGGGGATGAAATGATTCCTTTGCAGCTCTCCGTTTCTATGCACGGATAATCCGTGGTTATGTTTGCGCTTGCTGACTGGAATGATATTCTAGCTATCGTTCTAAATCAACAGTCTCTTACAATCTCCTCCCCGTCGGCATCGGCACAATTTACTCACAATTTATCTCTCCTAAATTCAAAATCGGATTCGCAGCGCAAGGATTCACTCTCTTACTTGACAACGGCAATTGTTTCCCGTCCTGTCAGCTCCCCTCTTCCCCAACCTGTTAGTGTCATACTTCCGTCTCTTACCACTTTGATATTGGACGGAAGCAGTGGGGTGCGTACTCAATTGATTAAGCTTCTAAAATCACTTCCTCCACCAGACATGGAAGGCCATATCTCGCAGCTTCTACCTTACGTCCGTGCAGGCATGACTCATCTTGCAGCTGATATCCGGCTTTCCTCTGTTGAAATCATTTCATGGCTGATAGCTACTGCTGGCCGTGAGGTAGTCTCTGCTCCTGGCGGATGGATTAAAACGCTCAATTGCTTTTTGTCCATTTTGGGGTGGCATACCGAAGAATCGACAAAGTGGTCGTTAAATAAGGCATCTTTTGGGAAGGCTGGAAGCGATGGAAAGCCAATGGTTCGGACGTTGCAAATTCTGGCAGAATTTTTAAGATCAGGCATTGGGCCTGCTGAGGACAATCCTGATCTAGATGAAGATGACCTGAGGGATAGCAAAGACTGGGCTTTCCCTCTTACTCAGACTGACCAGCATGTTTTACCGACAAAATCCGCGCCTTTTGCATATCTCACCCTATTTGGACAACCACAGAACGAAGAAGGCGAGATATATGAAACTAGAGAAGACAGGTTTAGGGTCTTCAAGGAAAAGTTTCTATCGGCTGTCGAACGTGGGGTGAATTCCACAAGGCAAGAAGGAGGTGAGGTTGGACGTGCGTCAGCAAGTTTGAAAAAGGTCCTACATGAAGCTATGACATTGAATGTAGGACTCTAGCCTGCTCAGCAATGGCTCCTTTGAGCGTTCGATACCAGAGACTGGAAAGTCTCAAATTAGCGCCACAAAATAATTATATGGCTACCCTAAGCGCTGTGTTTGTGGTACAAGGCAGTATTCAAGCCAGCTACCTAATTAAGGTGCCTAGATAGGTACCTTCTAATCACATGAGCTGAAACCCAGGCAGACCTCTGAAGAGAATTTCATCTCCAAGCATCAGCGTGATTCTATCCTGATAAGCTGCTGGCCGTTAGCACATTCAAGGAAACAGTGACTTTTGCCTTGATAATTCCTAAGAATACTTTCAATAGAACGGTGATCTCACTTGCCATTTATTTCTGACCGAGAAAAGTGTACTTCTGAACACACTTGACCTTGGCGAACACAAATGTCATACAAAGTTTACTTTGATTTTTTCCCGCCAGCATGCCACGCGATCACCATGAGATTTTGTGGAAACAAATCCTGCCACCGGTTCTGGCCATATATATCAAGACACTGGCAATCTTCAGAATGGAATGGTTTTTGAGGACAAGTTCGGAGAACCACCTGATGAGAACCAACGTTCGTGGGATAAAACTACTCGGCATTGTGCAGGGCGATTATGAGAAGGTTTTCAAGGACATTTGTATAGAAATTGAAGCACCGAAGAAACAATTTGACGGGGTGAAGAGACCATATCTACAAGACCCACTTCGACGGTCAGCAGTGGACGGCAAAGACAAGTTAGACTTTAACGAGTGCAGGTGTATTGTTGTGATGAGATTGATGGAATACTATTACTGTTTTCACTGGGGTTGAGTGCTGGAGCTCAAATATATAATCCGAAACACGATTTGATCATAATTTCAACTTAGTAATGCCAACTAAGGAAGAAGGTCGACGCAAGTTCCTCACATAAACAAGTACAGATGGCTACCTGGGTACCCTTCCAAGAACATCAAACCTCCAACTCGCATGTAACATTCCTTCAGTCGAATGACTATGGAGACATGTGCTGCGCTGCTTCGGTTCTAGCACATACGCCAAGGATTAGCAGATAGCATGGAGTCATGCGGTGTTTTCTTTCTTTCTTTCTTTCTTTCTTTCTTTTCTTTTTGTTTTTACATCAACAAATGACTTGAAAATTTCAGCACATTTTTAAGCCTGCCTCGCATAACTAGTCTCAGTGCCATTATTATTGACGCCAGGCGTATCAAAAGACTTATCCATAAGAGGAAACGTCTTAAACCACCCCTTGTTCATCCACGTTAACTCGTTTCAGTGCGGGGCTCTTCAGCCTGCCCTTCAGCTCACCCCCAACCTTCTCACAAGTTTCTGGTGATTGCAAAGCGAAGTGAACAATGGAGCATATAATTGCCCTTTCACTTGCTGCTGGTGGTGCTGGCGAAAGTTTCGTCAACCTTTAACAGAAGAACACCAGTTACACCTTGATGCCATGGCCGGGATCGAGACAGCTTCTGCTATTATCGGTATTGCTCATGTCGGGTTTGCCTTATCGAAGGCCTTAATTGAATACATTGACGAAGTTAAGGATGCTTCACGTCGTCTTAGTCTCATTGGAAATGAGATTAGAACAACAAGTGAACGTCTAGAGGATATCGGCAAGCTTGTCGAAAAGAACCGTACCACGAATTTCCTCAGTTCAGAGGGTATCAGGAGTGCGATTCGAGCCTCGGAAGAATGCGCGCAGGTAATTGAAGAATTGCGCGGGATTTTAGGAAAGAGTGGATGCACACATGCACCTACCGTGGTTGAGAAGGAGGAAATTGATATTTCCTATTTTACGAAATTTAAATGGCCGTGGGTCAAGTTTAGACTTGAGGCTCCAAGAGCAGAGCTGCAGAGAATAAAGGCGGACTTAACACTGCTGTTTGCTTCAGTTATGGCTATTGGAGCGTAAGCATTTCCGCTCAACCCAAAATAATGTTCATATACGGCGTGTACTGACGCCATGTCTAGGTCCAATAAGACCGAGAAGATGTATTACTATGCGGAGATTGTCAATACGGAGAAAACACGCAAATGGGCAGCTCAGAAAGCTCTCAACGCCAGGCTTCGGGCGAAGAACGCCGGGCGCAAAGGTGGCAAATACTCTGTATCTCATTCTGGCTCGTTAGCCTCATTTACCGATGAAGGAGGAGAAGATGAGAACCTCCGCTTCGAATTTGTGAGGTTCAAAGAGGAACAAGCACTTGCCCTGCTGAAAAGGAGACGAGAAGAGGAGGCTGCTCTTACTCTAGCTAAAAAGGAGGCAAAAAGGGAGGCTGAAGAGGAAGAACGCAAAAGAATCGAAACGACGGGCATTATGAAGTATAAAGAAGCACTCAAACTCCGGCAAGCAGAACGAGATTCTCGTATTGCAGCCACCAAGGAGGCTCTACGCACTGAGCTTGAGCGGCTCAACTTCCCTTCCGACAAGATCCAATCAATTCTAGGCAATATACACCTAACAACCAATGAAGATAGCGATTCTATTATCGGATTCCCGGGCCTGGAGTCCGATTCAACGACAAATGTCGTTCTACAAACTCTTTCCAATCTCAGCGGTAATAGCAAGTCAGTGAGCAGCAAATCCATAAGAAAGAGTATTTGGTAAGCCCCTGTAAACGTGTCTAGCTTTTTATATTTGAAAACTAACTGTTTGTTTCAGGAAGCTGTTTCATCGCACCAAGAAGTCATCAACCCCAACAAAACCCATCCAAATCTCGAATGAATGGGAAGAAGCTGTTCGGTTAGAATCATGGGTTTGGGATTCAGCAAGTGATTTATGGATTGAGTTCAAGGAAGATCAGCTGGAGAATGGAGGCACGCCGAAGTCACAGCAGTTCTGGGTCAGGTATTCGCAACTTCCTTCCAAATATCGTTCCTCATTTCAAGAATTTTACTATCAGAAAAACGAATGCCTAACAGGCGATGCTAAATGGAGAGTTCTCGACATGGAGCCCATTAAGAAAGTCACAAAAACAAGCATATTTTCCCGTACTGAGGAAGACATTGGGCTACGTGTTCTCCTGGCGCGAAAGAATGAGAGAGTTTTGACGTCGCGCTTAACAGTACAAGAAGGAAAGGTAGCTGTAGAAGGAGATCTTTCACCAGTACCTGAGGTTGGCAAGGAGCTTGAATCTGCCGAGGCACGTATCCAGGAAGGACACCAGGTTCCCCGCAGTGTCGAGAAGCGAGCTATGAGTCCGGGGAGAACCGGTGTACCTACCACTAGACACACCAAATCCCCCCGCAGATCCCACCAGAATGTACATGTATCAAAGCTGATGACAAGGTACAATACATTTAATGACCTCACCGATACCGAGTCCGATAGCTCCTTTTCTCCAATGAGATATCGGCCGTTAGAGGAAGAAGTGAGAAGAAGTGAGAGAGTGGGTGGCTACGCTGGATTGCGTAGAAAGTCACTCGAATCATATACAAGAACAAGGGAAAGGCAACGGTATCAGGGACTATGTCGACCATATAAGGAGTATTATAGCTATCCTAGAGAGAGATCCCCTGCTCAACGTCCAGGTCGAACGTTTTCTAGACGAGATAGTGATTGGCTGAGGGACACGAGTCTCAGTCGCGCTTCGGTCAACGGGAATAGGTACGGCCGCATTTTAAGAAATATCGATATCGATTATTTTGATACCCGAAGGGCTCTGGTGCCAATCCAACGACGATCCAGCAAATGGAGTAAAGAGCTTGGAGAATTGCGTCGAAGGAAAAGACCAACGCATAGCGCTTTTAAGAAGAGGAAACAAGATGTAGGTAATGGTCCAAAAGGCACCAACCACAATGCACTCGTCCTATCGACATTGAAGCGGCTTACGAATTTTGATGGCGATACGCTTCTCCCCGAGCTTAAAAGCACTGTTCCAACAAATTTCATGCCGGCCACGGCGCCTGGTCCGCCTCCTCCTCCGCCTCCCCCTCTTCCTAGTTCACTTAAGCCATATATGCAGTTGGATTCCTCCTCTCATTTCCGTCCATACAGTCCTCATTGGATGGCAAATCGCATTCAGCACCCGGACCTCAATGGACCATCCCAAGGAACGGAAGAAAAAAGCGACCTTCCGAATTTTGGTGGCCATCATTCACATGCAGTCGCTCCTGAAGATTTTGAACGCGGGCGATCGCTCACGAAACGCCTCGTGCCTGAGCCCCAAATTATCGTTTCTGGCCTTTCAGCTCCAAGGTTTCGGCCTTCTTCACGTGGGATCTATGACTCTCCTGTTTCTATTCTCCATACATTATCTGCTGAGGCCACAGCTACTGATACAAGTAGTGATGAGGAACGCGACCATTCATCCCATCGTCCTCGTATTCACCAGGTAACCGTGGAAAGTGTGGATGACCTTGGGATTGAAAGTTTGAGTAGGCCGAAAGAGGATGACGAGAAGCACTCTCTCTGCCAATGAGATGAATTAATTATTTACAGAATATACGATTTTTTCGATTGGAATCTGGTTGCTATGTAGGAAGGTATAAGTTGGCTACAGGTTAACATTTAAACATTTATGACTATTTTATAACTTATACAAATTTATGGTATTTTTATAAAAATCGGATGATAGTTATCTCGTGGAACCGAAACCAGAGGTTTACAAGCAACTACCCGTCCGTCGTGGAATTATGATCCCGGATCTCGTAGGCACATGTAGGTAGACAGCCCTGGGCTTTCTATAACAAACCAGCCCTTCGCACCACAGCCAGAAGCTAGCCACTCAATAAAACCACTCAGACGTCCACCATATACTGGGGGCCAGGTCCCGGATGAGATAATCTTTGGGTGTCTGAACGGGCCATCATTGAGTGCCAAAACAGGAAGCGCATGAAGAGTTCCATTCCGGCTCCAAGAAGTGTTGTGCATGCTTCTACCTACCTATTAATACAGCTCAAACAGGATCCTAGAGCTCAAATGGAATCCAATCATTCTTATGACAAAAGCGCTGCTTTTACTTATGGAGATAGGAGTGGAATCTGAAATCACTCACTAGGACAAGTCCCTCAATAATAATTCTGATATTGTAGTATACTGCTCTAGAACGCCATCACTGCTTCATCTATGTAGTCTCTTCCTGGGTGCTTCAGCTTTCGTAACCCTTTGCGGTTTGGACTCGCAATCCTTTGATACCCACTCTTCAACTTTCTTTAGGATTCGGCCCCTAGGACTTTTTGTCCACTCTCCCTCAGCGTCATCTCAACCCGTTCATATCTGCTTACTCTCAAGTCCCTGATTCGCTGGTTCCAGCGTAGCGACACTGCGGCAGATGGCAACTCTGCTGGTGCATTTGAAAATGTTTGAATTGCAGCTTTCGCCATAGTTATAGCCGCTCTATTTTGTGCTTTGATGATTTGTTTGTATCATTATGTTGTAGCATTGCAGATGGAGTATTAGGCGTATTAGGGAGGAAGTGTGATTCTGAACTAGCAACTTTGTTCTGTTCATGGACCTTTCCATTGCTCAAAAGGAGGTTACTTGGGCAATTATGGGCATGTATTAGTTTTCAACAGTTTCAGCGGTGGGGTCGCAAGACAATAGAGGTATTCCCCCGTATCAGCAGAGCGTGCATGAATTCTGACGGAATAAGGGCATCGAGGGGGACATTCATGCGCACTTTGATCACGGTCAGCGGGACCAATGTGGATGAACAAAAGGACTAACACTACTTGCAGCGCTGGAAACTAGCTGGGATGAGAGTTGAAAGTGGAGAAGAGCAATTGATGGCAGATGGAGGAGAGGAAAAGATCAGAGACGATCCTAAGAGTCTCGCCCCGCCCCAGCTAATTCTATCATCTCAGAACTATTCCTGAATCAGAACTCGATCAGTTTATATACTCCGTACAGGATAGAATAAAAGCTTCCAGAAATTGCTCAAGCATGTGCACTGTAGAGCAAGGATCCTATCAAGAACATGTGGGGCCCCGTGAATCCGATGGAGGTATTTAGAATAGTATTTCATGCTGGAGAAGAACGTCGTTTCCAATGTCAAAATACCAAAAGAGCACCCAGTAATCAATTTATAACCTCATTTCTCTCAACGATAACGGGGTCTATATACTAGTGGTCCAGAGAAGAAGCAGGTCAGCTGCCCTTCTGTATCAAATTGGGGGCAGTTATCAAGTTGCGGCAGTGCTTTTCGGCGATTCTCAGCCCCAATAGCCTCAAGCTGAGACCCCACTTCTAGCCTGCAGAAGGAGTATGGATATTGGGGCGCTAAGAGTTGGCTATTAATAGAATTTGGGATCATGCATTCTAGGCTGGGAGAGAATATTTCTGGAAGAATTTTACTCAGGATTTTGATTTAATGCTGTTGCATCTTAAGGGTTGGTGAAGGCTTCTCTCTGATCAAGGATCTCCCTTCAAATCGACATGATGAGCAATTCTAATGAGCAATTTAACCGTAGTTATTAACGAGAAAAAAGCATCTTATCGTCATAAGTAGGAAAATTCGCTCATACAATCAAGAAGACGAAGAAAAATGAAAAAAATGAAAAAATGAAAAAATCCTGACGGTAACTAAGCCTGTGAGGCTCCTCTGTTCAGTTTTCAGGGTCAGTTGAATTGATCCACCATCCAAGTTGTCAGCAATTTAAACATCTCTTGTTGGGTCAAGTTGAATTACCTTACTTCTTCGAAGATCACGCGTGGTACAAGCTCTAGGCCTGGGCCAGATATCGCTAAAATAGTGGGTATCATGTAAGAGGTTGGAAATCAGAATCTCGTCTTCCATGCTAAGATGAGGAAAGGAAATGCCGTCAGCTGTGGCTGGTTACGGTTATTATAAAAATGTGTCATCTGATGAAAGTTCCCTCCATTGTGATGCCTCTGGTGCTGTAATTGATTCGCAGCCCCCTCCCCCCCTCATACATGACCAATCGGGCATGCAGTTGAGCATGGTGAGAAATATTCTGCCCTTAGAGCTAGTCTTCGAATCCAAGTCAGGTTCGGTGGCCAAGTAATCGATCTTACGTGTCCTGGTACTCACGGTGGAAGCGCGGCGTTGGGTTTTTGTGGAGCTGGGACGATCTTTTGAGAAGAAAAGGAATATGAGGCGATGGTAATTAAAGCTGGGAGGGTTATTAGTGGATGAGATTAGGGATCGTCCCATGCAATTATTATTAATAATATTTTTATAGTTAACTATTAGTCAATATAATAGAAAGCGAGCTCAGAGACATGTAGACGACGCCTACAAACAGAGCCTGACATCTCTAGTTCACCCTCTACACTCCCTCCACACGCCCTTGACATGCCCTCCATACTTTCTGCTGGAAAGATTCAACAACTTTTCACAGGGATTTACATCGCCGGGAGCAAGGAGCTCAGTGTTGACAAGTTTAACCACTGATACCGTAATAGATTCAACACAAACATTATTAAATCTTGCTAACAAGAGAGCAAAAACAAGAGCTATTTGCAGGCCTCTGTTTATAAATTTTATTTATTTATTTATATTTATTTATATTTATTTTTATTTAATATTGTCACAGCTTCCTCAGCTGTGATAATGCTTATTTTCTAAATTAAGGGACTCTGCTTGCAAGTCCGATGTTCGGCTTCCTTTTGTATAACTAACAACTAGTTAGTTAGCTGAAAACTTAAGAGTCATTGCTGTCAACAGGTCAGCCAATACCAATACATCCAACCAAGCTCAACACAAGCTCCTCTTCTCCTACTCCCCAGGTAATCTAACGTCCGCCCACCCTTCATTTCCATCTTCCCCATACCTCTTCACTGCCTTCCAAGTCTCAAGATCCAACCACCCAATCCTAGCTCGATCTCCAAACCCACCAATCCAATAAGCCTCTTCCACGACCAGCTTCGCCCAATAACCACTATGGGCAGCACTATCGTGGCCAGGCAACCACCACGCAGCATCAGGATGGGCAGCAACAAAGCACATCTCAACAGCCTTGCGTGTTGTATCCGACAAGTTCTCCAACGGATCGAGATAGCCTAGAAGTGACACTCGCGGAAGGGAGGCTAATGATACCTCCTCGACACGATGCATGCCAGCAACATTTCCAGCAGCCAGCTGATGCCACCAGTCTATGGATAAAGAAATATTCGAGCCAGCTTTCGTATTGCGGAAGGTGGTGCCGATATTCAATGCGAGGATTAGGGGGTTTCCAGGACCAAGAAGTTTGGTCAGTTCGCTGGTTGGGTCATTTGCACAATCTGCAATGTAGTCTGGGAAGCCGACGGGGACTCCATCGAGGGCAGATTTACGAGTGGATGAACTTGGCGGGTAGACGGTTGATAGAACTCCTGTGGTCGAAAGGGCAAGGAGACGACGTGCTAAGAGGTGCGCGGAGTCCCAGCTTGGAAAGACGTAGTCCGGTTGGGCAACGGGATCGTTATCATTGTCGAGGCCTGTAGGATACGAGGTTGTTTCTGGAAAGCCAGGGAGCGGCAGCGGAGATTTGCCCTTCGAGCCTATCGGGAGCTGTGCCGTTATAGCAATTGAGTTGTCTGATCCATCGACGTTTGCCTGCAAAGATGTTGGGTATGCAACGGCGATGGAAAGGAGAACCTCTATAAAAGCAAGAATGGTTGTTGACCACATGTTGGGAAGAATTGTACGGAGTAGACCGATATGCTATTCAATAGTCTTGTATTCACGTATTCTTGCACAATCCTAGCGAGAATCCCTGGGGTCGGGTATTGGTGAGATATAAAGGATCCAGCCACAAAGCGGGGAAGTTGAGCCAGGTCCCGCCTTCAAACAGTCATTCTTAGCTCAGGTTTAGTAGCGATTGTAGTCAACGAATGGAAACCCACACACAAACTCTCTGTCGTTACAAAAGCCTGAATGATCCGTCAAGGATATAAGAATCCAACAAAACATGCCCTGGTGGAAGTTGCGTTTGCTGATCCCCTTTTAGCTATGTGCAGAGATTAGATGATCTGATAAAATTTGACATCTAGGGATCCAATCATGAGATGCCGTTGGAATAGCGTTGTAAACTTTATTTTTCTGTTCCAAACATTTCAAAGTACCTCGGTTGGCAGCAATTTGCTAGGACAAGGACTGGATGTCGATGCTGACGCCGCGAATAATCAGTTACAGATCCATGACATGGTTTGAATATTCGCCAAATCGGCTTTGTCTTGAGATTTATTTTCCAAGTAATAACTGCTAAGGTCTTGCGCGCCCTAACTGCTGCCATACTCGTGACCAATATTTAAACCACCCGCCTCGGAAGGGCGGGAACCTTGGAATAAGTCTCAGATGATTCGTACATATGGCAATTTATGGCATGTTACGAGATGTTACCAGATATTTGATCTGTATATTGATAGAAGCGCCAGTCTATTGGACCCAAAATCCCCCTCAAGAAAGTGGGAGCAAAATGGAACGATCAAAGCTTTCAACAGCTCTAGAGAGAACACAATATCTACTTTTGTGGATAGACAGACAGATAAAAAAAAAATTGCACGAATTGTTTCCCATTTGGGCGTGGCGCGGGCACAGTCCAGAGTTATTCCGAATCTCATTCATTGGTTTGATTGGCTCAATCCTACATTCGAACACACGCAATCAACTTCTCATGACTTAGCAGACAATACAAGACAATACACAAACGGATTCATCGTAGAATCTATCGACAGATCAAATGTCGAAGAAGTCCCGTGTATGCTCTATCTGGAATATTTACATATTTACCTCTTTGTTGAATTGTTTGTTATCATTTCGATATAGTGACTGCAGGCAAAGTGTTGGTCAAATAAATAAAGGATGGGAAGGTCTATGACCCAATTCTCTGCTTCACTTCTTGAGCAACCTCGATGAATTGTTCAGTGCAGCAGCCGGCCAATACATCAATCTATTTCCATACAATACTAAAACCCTCATACACAATGGAGGCACGATTTATAGTTCATGGGCGAGTGTTACTTATACACTCTTTGGGCAAACCCTCATATATCCCATGGTCATCACCCTTGATCAAACGATGACCATGCATACAACACCAGGGCTTTCGTGCACAACATTCCTATCCTTCGTATATGTTTCATGTGGAATAAAAAAAAAAAAAAAGCGTTTCATTTTGCGACTATTAACTAGTTAGTTGCTTAATTGTCGAGATCACAGATCCATTAATCCTCAGAACAGAAGGATAGTGGAGTTCTAGACGTTGGAAGCGATATTGTTACACCAACTTGTTCCCAGAAAATGAAAAGCACAAAATTTTATGTGATTGGGTGCGAAGCATGCCAAATGTGTCACTGAAACCATTCTTCTTCATGGGAGATGATCGTGTCTTTCATCGGACACTGGGAAAGAATCGACACTCGGGAAGATGTCGTATCAAATTCCGTGGCTCAGCTAGAACGAGAATCATTTCCCAAAGCAGAACTCAAAGAGGCAATTTAAGAGGTGAACATTTATGGCTGAGGGGGATCCAATTTTGATAGATTTAATGCCCGCCTGGCGTTAACGAATCAGTGACGTGTACCGAACACAATGCCACCGGACCTGCCCTTGTGTTCATGGGATAACCAACCACTTTTGGTTGTACTCCCTAGGTATAGTTATATACATAATTGACTCGAAGGCTGGGGATAAGACCGAGCTGCTCTTAAGCTACCAAGGATGGCAGTCAAATATCTCCGTTCGTGGACGCATCAACAACGCATTCATTCATGATGTAGGTGCTTTTCATGAAAAGCCTTCCTGCTGTCGTTCTCTTAATGTTTGCGTTTCCCTTTGCTCTGCTCGAGTCTAATCGCCCCCCGAAATTCCCCCGAGGAAATAATGCGACTTGGTATTGTTTGTGTGGCACTTGTCTCGGCCTATCTACCAGTGCATACGGTAGCCAGTGAGGTAGATGACCTCGCCGCACAGGGTCTTGAAATTCGCAGAGCTTATGATGCCGAAATTGGTGGCGAAGGAACTTGCGATTTCGAGAACACTGCTGTCAGGAGGGAATGGTATATATTTTGTTCCAAGTGCTTCTATCTTCGCGGATAAAGACCTAAACTGAATACCCCCGTTTAGGAATACATTGACAGCGGATGAAAAGAAGGAATATATCAACGCCGTCCTGTGCTTGCAGGAGCTAGAGTCGATTTGGCCACGGAGTGAAGTCCCCGGTGTAAGATCCAGATTCGACGACTTTGTCGCCCTGCATATACAACAGGCTCGCTTGGTTCACTTTACAGTAAATTTTATTTTATTTTACTTTATATATATATATAACCATTCTATCAAGACCTTTGACAACATGAAGTTAATTTTATTACCCATCAGGCTAGTTTCCTTGGATGGCATCGGTACTATTTATGGACCTATGAGGAGGCCTTGCGAAACGAGTGCGGTTATACAGGATATCATCCATACTGGAACTGGGCTGAGTATGCAGAGGACCCCGTCAGCAACCCAATGTTCGATGGCTCTGAAACGAGTTTGTCTGGGAACGGTGAGGCAACC